GCAGTTGAATGAAAATTGGGACCATGGGATAGAGCAGCAGAAAGGAACAATGGATATGCACATGGCCCATATCAAGACAATGGTCTGGACATGGACCAGAGAGGTTACCCAAGGATAGGATATCAATGTTCATGGTCCAGGCATGACCTGTGGGTAGGGCTAACTGCAGATCCTAAGTGTGTGAAGGTAGGTCTGCCTTACTAATACTTCTTATCAGCAGTTTTCTTGTGATTTTCCACATTGATATGAACAAGGTGTGTTGGCAGGAACTGAAAAATACACAGAGGAATTCTGATTGATGAAGGATTTGCTATTGGTGTGACTAATGCCCTGTGCATGCATAACTTACTCGATCTTCTCAAAGAGGGACACTTTTTAGCCAAGTTAAGAGCTGACAGGCCTAATGATTCTGCATCTGGGGGCTGAAAACCCAGCCTCCAGAAGCCCTGACTCCTCAGGCCTCCCACATGTTACCAGTGTGCTTCATCTGTGCAATTTCCAGGGCACAGCTTCCAGGACCAGACCAGGTTTTTATGGCTACAAGTAGGAACACATGTCCCCCTTCATGTTTCCCTCTCCCTCCCTCTCCTCCCCATAAAGACTTACTGGATCACCTTGTCTGAGGGGTCCTTTTGGCTGGAGTTTAAAAAGAAGCTCCAGAACTGTGTGTGCACGCATGCTAGTGTCCAACTCTTTGCAACCCCATGGACTGTGGCCCACCAGGCTCCTCTGTCCATGGGATTCTCTAGGCAAGAATACTGGAGTGGGTTGCCATGTCCTCCTTTAGGGGATCTTCCCGACCCAGGGATTGAACCTGCATCTCTTATGTCTCCTGCCTTGGCAGGCAGGTTCTTCACCACTAGCGCCTCTAGGGAAGCCCACTCCACAATTGTAGTCACTTTTGAAACAGTTTCTCAGGCCAAGCTGTCCGATTACAAGTCCATCAGAAATGATCACCTTCATCCTTCTACACCAAAACAAAAAATGACCTCGGATTTCTATTTGAATGAAGATAATCCAAAATAGCTGCACTTTAAAAATAAGAATTTTCTTGCATGCGACCTTTTATAGTGGAAGAATACCCTGATTAATTAAGGCAAGGATTTCACCTTAACTTAGTTATAAATGACTGAAAATGTGCTTTTGCATCTGTTTAGGATGACATTTCATGGGCATCTATGCTACATCACAAATTCCATGACAATAAACACATAGACTTGTTATTTGATAGTTACATAATTGTGGTTTTCTTCTGCTTATTCTCACAGAGGTGGAGAGTTGCCCATGTGTTTTTTGTTCCCCCTTCTTTTTTCTCCAGGGGGAAAACAAATGTAAAACACACCAAGCCAGAGGGAAATAGTCAATATGACATTGTGGCATGTGAACGTTTATTTGCCAGTTCACTCTGAATTTTGTGAAAGCTCTTTGCCAGCGGGTTAGGGTCAGTGCATTTTGAGTGGCAATGCTCACCAATGACCACCAGAGGGCAGTGATGACCTCATAATATCTTGGGAAGGCATCGGCAAGTGAATCTGTCTATCCAACACCTCTCTCAAACACTGTATAAATAACTACCATTATGGAAAACGGTCTGCATGTACTGTGCACCAGATTGCTTGGGTTAAATCCCAACTCTGTCCCTTACTAGCTGCGTGGCCTTGGACAAGTTACTTCACCTCTCTGGGTTTGTTTCCTATTCATATCGAAAATGAGAAAATTGTCCCGATTTCGTAGAATTGTTGTGAATATTTAATGACTTAATACTTTAATGTACTCAGAGCCTGGCACACAGTAAGCTATTATACTTATTATTATTACTAAGAATATTACGTTAAACCCTTTCATTTTCTTTCTGGGTCCCAACTGAAACGCCTAGGAGAAGGGACATGACTCAAGAGGAAGGAAGGAAAACTTTGCTGAATCTCAGGCCATGCTAGAAATCTCTGGATGATGGAGAAGGGGATGTGGGAGATGTCTACACTCGGAGAGCTGGAAACTGGTCCTAAGGGAGACTGGGAGGGGCAAAGCCTGACCTAAGTTTGCCTGCTTCTTCCGCAAAGGCAAAATACCAGCTCCAAGCTTGGGCCAAGGGAAGGTCAGCTTGCATCAGGCACAGGAGGGTGGGAGGCAGGGGAAGAGCTGTGCTTCAAACCTGGTGCAATTATCTGCAGCCAGGGGAGGCTGTCCTGAGGGGCCTGCCGCCTGGGCACCTCCCCGTTCAGTCTAGATGAAGGACAAAGGGAGGACTCCAGCTCTGAAAGAAAGGCCTTGAGGTGATTTTACAAGGAAGCAGGAGGTGTTCTAGCTTCCTTTCGCAAAGGCATTCCTGAGATGGGAATGAGTGCCTGAGAAGGCTGGGAGGAAGCGGGGGCAAGGGTGGAAACCCAGGGCAGAATGCGCATGTGCTCTTCTGGAGCTGTTTCTGGAGCTTCTGGGGCGTGCTCTAGAGGCTAGTTCTGGGTAAGCTCCTAGAATGCAAGGACGACATCTTACCCAGCCTTGTAGGGCAGTGACCGTGCCTGCCCTAGGGCTGTGAATAAATATCCCAGATCTCCCTTCTTCTGACACACAGTAGGACTACAACCCCCTGCCTACCTGAAGTCCATAGGGCCCTGTGACTTTCTTGGGTTAAGGAAGGAGCAGCAGAAACTTTAAGAGCCAAGGGCACTTCCTTTTTGACCTCTGACCTAGAGGTGGCGGTCCTGCCTGTGTCCCACTGCGACTACAGTGAGCAGAGCGCCCCCAGGCTGACTTGTGGTGGACCTGTAGCAGGAGTAAGACATCAACCCTTATTGCTTTAAGCCATAGAATGCCGGTGTCATGGGCTACTTCTCACTGTGGTGTAACCTAGCCTACTCTGACTGAGACAAGTGTTCCCCTTTGAATTGCCCTCTGTCATATACATATGCCTTTTGCACTTTACACCACATCATTCGATCCTCTGGAAAGAGCTGTGAAGCAGGTCTGTTAATTTTCCAAATGGTGAAACTGGGTTTCAGAAAGCTCAAATATTCAGGGCCCTCCAACAAAGTGATAGAGCTGGGACTCCAACTCAAGCCCCCAGGATTTAATCACCCTCGGTGGTGTGATGCCTGACGTGTGTGTCGAAATGATAATACTAATACCGGTCAGCACAACCACAGTCATCATCTTCATAAAGCTTTTTGCAGTATCATTCTTCTTCCTGGTGTGCTGAACAGACACGTATAGGATGGCTACCAGGTGGCGCTAGCAGTAAAGAACTTGCCTGCCAATGCAGGAAATGTAAGGGACCTGAGTTTGAGCCCTGGATTAGGAAGATCCCCCGGAGGATGGCATGACAATCTCGCCTGGAGAATCCCATGGAGCCTTTTGGGTTACCGTCCATGGGGTCACAAAGAGTCGGACACAACTGAAGCGAGTGAGCACAGACATATGAAGAGCAAAACTGGGTAAGAAAGGACACATACAGCATCTTACAGAGAGAATAGACATCAGGTAACATTGCTTCAGCAGGGCGATCTTACTGTTATCAATAACATTATAATAATATTGATAACATACTGTTATCAATAACCTAACACTGATTACAGTGTTTTAAAAAACCAGCTTCTGTAGTATCACTCCCCTCCCCACGTCCCTAACCACCATCATGCTGAAATTTCGCTCTCTTTGCACTAAACTCTCCTCCAATAAAATGGCCTTGTTCAAATGTCTCACCCACTCAGGACTCTTTCTTCTCCTGGAAAACTGGCAAACTGTTCCAGCTAGCTCAGGAGAATGCTGTGGATGTGCTGTCGCTCCTAGAGGTCACATTCATATTTGAACCCAGCTCTTTGCATGTCTTTCCAACAGTGGGATTTCAGAGCAGCTTTGCGGGCTGGTGGGAGAGGCATCTCGGCTCTAGCCGCCTTTTCATTACACCTCAGATCACATCCTGTAATTGGCAGCCGAATCCACTCAGCCTAAGATGGCTTTCTGCATCCATCCATCCTTTGCTGCTGACTTTGAAGGGATCAAAAGAGCCCTGTTTATTTTCCTAATCTCCCTAATCCTCATAACTATCCCTGTGAGGATGCAGGTATCATCACCACCATTTTTCAGATGAAACGAAGGCCCAGAACGTTTTAGTGACAGGCCCAAGGTCACCCCCAGGAGCTGGTGGCAGAGACTGGGGAGAGAACTCAGACCGGCTGATCTCCCAGGCCATTGGTCTCCACTAGACCCTGCTGTCTCACTGAATTCCCCCTGCAGTTTTAATTGAATATCATGTTCTTCTTCACTTCCTGCCTTAAACAGAGCAACAGCTGCCACTTTCCCCCCCTGAGCCGGCTGGCGGTACTTCAGTGGTGGGTGAAGTTATCCTGGGATATGAAGTGGGTGAAGCGTTTCAGGATAAAAGAGCCATCAAAACGGAAGATATTCACCAAGGTATAAAAGGGATGCCTTGACTTTACTGCTTTCCCTGACTTTCAGATGACATCGTGTCTAAGAGGGAAAACTGCGTGGGAGGGTGAGTATGGGGATTAGAGGAGGGGAATTTATGGGGGGCGGGGAGATGTATGTGCAATTGGATGAAAACTTCTCTGCAAAAAAATAAAGTCATCAATGTTATTGGTGAGAAGCCTGATATATGCTGTTGTTGGACTGTCCTGGGTTCATCTTTTTTTTTTCCTTGTGAATGATGCTATAAAGTTTCAGGAGGATTAAAGGCAGGAGGACTAAGATTCGCTTCACCCCGTTCTGTCTACTGTACAGTGACTACAGCAGTGGGAATGGAACTTTGGGCTGTTTCAGAACCACCGGGCCGCTGGGGGAAGGTGTTGCTTTGGGGCCCTGTCCTGGGAGATAGTGGCTTAGGAGGATTTGTGGTCGCTTTGGAGGGGACGTTTAGGGAGGGCTGATGGCTGGCCGTGGTTGTGCCCCCGCCCCTCATATGCATTTTGGGAAGGGGGAGGCCTGTCAGGAAGGCCTGTCTGCTCCACCCTCAAGGCATTTGCAGGGGCCTGTCTGCAGGCGGAATGAGCCTCCCAGGCAGGAGGAGAGGGAAGCTCGGCCTTGGAAATCTGAGCGGTTTGGTCCAGGCCAGGAGGAAATTGAAAAACTTCCCAAGCAAAACGGCTACTTCCCGAAGAGATAAAAAGCAGCTCAAGGTTATAAATCCGTGCCAACCTGCGGACCCAGAGGTCAGGGTCAGGCTGGAGGCTGGAGAAGGGACATCAGCGTGCCCGCCCCGGGGAGCAGAATGCCAGATCCGGCGGGGCGCAGGGAGCCCCAAAATGCTGGGGTCCCAGGGGTCCAGGAGGCCCCAGCAGATGCTCAGCCGCCCCGTTCAGAGGCGTGGCGCCGGGGTCCAAGCGGCTCCCACGCGGGGGCAGCGCTCACGCCGGGCCCCTCCCCGCGCGGCCACCGCTTGCCTGTGTGGTGCGCGAGTGGCTGTCCTCCTGGAAGCCAACTTTGACAGGTTCACCCAGAGGAAGCATACCCTCCGGGAAGACGGTGAAGGGCTGGCAGCGTCTCGTTTCCTAAACCCAGAACCTGAGCTGAACCAGGAGGCTGGCTGACCAGGTGCCCAGTCTCAATTCCAAGTGTGGGGGGAAGGGGGGTCTGTCGGTCCAACTGGACCCCATTTAGGGCACATGGGCCCCTGAGAAAGCAGCCCTAATTACCCTCCGGAGTGTCTGGAGTGTTCAGGAAACCATGAGTTATGACTGCCTCAGCGCAGATGGAATTATGACTCCGGGCGCTTTTGGCTGTTCACTTCCATTTGTAGGAGCTGCTTATTGTAACCTGCCCACATTCCCGCTCTGGAAAGGGGTTCCCATGCCCCGCGTCACCTCAGAGCCTCAGTCACCCCAAATTATGAAAATTTGCAAAAAAAAAAAAGAAATGTTGTCCTTAGAGTCAAGGAAACACTTAATACCTTTCCCACAGAGGCAAGGAGGCCATTTCCAAGGGCAAAAGATAATGCTGGGACTAATACTTCTGTGTGTCTGTATTTTACTCACTTCCCACTGCTAGGGAATGAGACAGGCAGCCATCAGGCTGAAGGGAGGGAGGGGGCAGAGAAGTTCTAAATGATTTGACCTTAAAGCATGTTCGCCTTAAGGATGGCATTGTAATGTTAGATAGGCCCTTTGACCTTCCCAGGCCTCGCACTTTTCATTCTATAATATAGCTGTCATTTCACGTAGTAAGCAAACCATGAATCTTAAAACTGCCTCCGAAGGGGCTCGAGCTCCATAATTGAAAGGCAGCAAAAGCTGAGCGCAATATGAATGTGTGATTGCTTGCTGTAAAATTAGAAACTCAATTATGGAAGCCTGCTGGGCAAGCCTCACGAAGATACAAGGCCATGTTTTAGACAGAGCCATCGTGTTCAATAAAGAGTTGACTCTCCCCTCAGAGCGGTCCTCACTAGAGGCCATCTCAAGTCTCTAAAATGGCATTACAAATAAGACAGAACTCAGGACAAGAAGTTGGCAAGGTGCAGGAAAAAGTCAATGATCTGGACTTGTCCAGCCTGCATTCTAGTCCCAGCGCTAGCTAGTTCACGACCTTGGGTAGGTCATTCCATCATCCTGGTCCTTGCTCTCATCATGTTTGTCTTTCGTTTTTTAGTTGTAAAAGAACAATCAACATAAATATGCCCTCTTAATAACTTTTCACTGCACAATAAGCGTTGGTAACTTTACGTCATTCATGGCATTATGCAACAGATTTCTAGAACATTTTCATCTTGTATTATGAAAACTCTATACCCACTGAAAAACATCTTATTTTTCCCTCCCCTCAGCTCCTGGCAGCCACCATCCTACTTTCTGTTTCTATGAGTTTAGTTTAGCTTTCTCATGAGTGGAATCATGCAATATTTGTCTTTTTGTGACCAGCTTATTTTATTTAGCAAATTGTCCTCAAGTTTTACCCATGTTTTAGTACATGCTAGGATTTCCTTCTTTATTTAGACTGAATAATATTCCATTGCATGTCTATACATGTTTTCTTCACCCATTCATTTGTTAGTGAACATTTAGGATGCTTCCAGATCTTGACTATGTGAATAGTATTGCAATGAATGTAGATGTGCGAATATCTCTTCAAAATCCTATTTTCAATTTTTTTGGATATGTACCCAGAAGTGGTGTTGCTGGATCATATGGTAGTTCTATTTTAATTTTTTGAGAAACTTTGTATTGTTTTTCATAATGGTATCATTTTATAATCACACCAACAGTGGGGATTCTTTATATTCAAATTCTTTATATCAAGTATTCATTATTTTCTGAGATTTTGTTTTGTTTGGATAGTGGCCATTCTAACAGTTTTGAAATGATATCTCATATTTTTATTTGCGTTTCTTGATAATAAGCAATATAGAACATCTTTTGTTTGGTGGCCATTTGTATATCTTCTTTGGAGAAATACGTGTTCAAGTCCTTTGCCTATTTTTAATCAGGTTATTTGTTTTTTTGTTGTTGTATATTCTTCAGATTAATCTCTTATTTGATAAATGATTCACAAATATTTTCCCCCATTCTGTAGGTTACCTTTTACTCTGATAATTGTACCCTCTGTGGAACATAAGTTTTAAAGTTTGATGTAGCACTATGTGTCTGTTTTTGCTTTTGTTGCCTGTGCATTAGTATTGTATCTAAGAAAACATTGCTTACTCCAGTATCATGAAGTCTTTCCCTCTGTTTTCTTCTAGAAGTTTTATAGTTTCAGTTCTTATATTTAGGACTTTAATTTTTGTATATAGTGTAAGATAAGTTCAGTTCAGTTCAGTCACTCAGTCATGTCTGGCTCTTTGTGACCCCATGGACTGCAGCACGCCAGGCTTCCCTGTCCATCACCAACTCCTGGAGTTTACCCAAACTCATATCCATCAAATTGGTGATGCCATCCAACCATCTTATCCTCTGTTGTCCCCTTCTCCTCCTGCCTTCAATCTTTCCCAGCATCAGGGTCTTTTCCAACGAGTCAGTTCTTCGCATTAGGTGGCCAAAATATTGGAGTTTCAGCTTCAGCGTCAGTCCTTCCAATTAATATTCAGGACTGATTTCCTTCAGGATGGACTGATTGGATCTCCTTGCAGTTCAAGGCACTCTCAAGAGTCTTCTTCAATACCACAGTTCAAAAGCATTAATTCTTTGGCACTCAGCTTTCTTTATGGTCCAACTCTCATATCCATACATGACTACTGCAAAAACCATAGCTTTGACTATACAGACCTTTGTTGACAAAGTAATGTCTCTGATTTTAATATTCTGTCTAGGTTGGTCATAGCTTTTCTTCCAAGGAGCAAATGTCTTTTAATTTTATGGCTGCAGTCACCATCTGCAGTGGTTTTGGAGCCCAAGAAAATAAAGTTTGTCACTGTTTCCATTGATTCCCCATCTATTTGCCATGAAATGATGGGACCAGATGTCATGATCTTAGTTTTTTGAATGTTGAGTTTTAAGCCAGCTTTTTCACTCTCCTCTTTCACTTTCATCAAGAGGCTTCTTAGTTCCTCTTCACTTTCTGCTGTAAGGGTGGTGTCATCTGCATATCTGAGGTTATTGGTATTTCTCCTGGCAATCTTGATTCCAGTTTGTGATTCATCCATTCTGGCATTTCACATGATGTATTCTGCATTTAAGTTAAATAAGCAGGGTAACAATATACAGCCTTGATGTACTCCTTTTCCTATTTGAAGCTGTCCATTGTTCCATGTCCAGTTCTAACTGTTGCTTCTTGACCAGCATGCAGATTTCTCAGGAGGCAGGTAAGGTGGCCTGGTATTCCCATCTCTTGAAGAATTGTCCACAGTTAGTTGTGATCCATAGAGTCAAAGGCTTTGGCATAGTCAATAGAGCAGAAGTTGTTTTTCTGGAGTTCTCTTGATTTTTCTGTGATCCAATGGATGTTGGCAATTTGATCTCTGGTTCCTCTACCTTTTTAAAAGCCAACTTGAACATCTGGAAGTTCTCAGTTCACGTATTGCTGTAATTCACTTATTGTATTATTGAGCCACCAGGGAAGCCCATGTAAGATAAAGGTCCATCTTTATACTTTTGTATATGGATATTCAACTTTCCAAACACCATTTATTGAAGACACTATCTTTTTCCATTTTGTAGCCTAAGTAGCCTGTTAAAGATCATTTGACCTTATACATGAGGGTTTATTTGGGGGCTGTCTATTTAGTTCCTCTGGTTTATATGTCTATCTTTATGCCAACACCATACTACTTTGATTACTATAGCTTTGTAATACGTTTTGAAATCAGAAAATATATGGCCTCCATCTTTGTTCTTTCTCAAGACTGTTTTGGGTGTTTGGGATTCTTTGAGATACTATATGTATTTTATGATTTTTTTTCTTTCTACAAAAAAATGCCATTGAGATTTTGATAAGGATTGTATTGAATCTGTATATGGCTTTGAGCAATATGGACATTTTAACAATATTAAGTCTTCCAGTGAACATGGGATTTCTTTCCATTTATTTGTATCTTCTTTCATTTCTTTCATCACTGTTCTGTAGTTTTCAGTGTATAAGTCTTTTACCTTCTTGGTTAAATTTATTCCAGGGTATTTTATTCTTTTTGATGTTTTCATTTTCTTAATTTTCTATTTTGATTTTCACTATTGGTGCATAGAAATGCAACTGATTTTTGAGTGCTGGTTTACATCTTGCAACTTTGCTGAATTAGTTTAGTTATTCTAACAGTTTCATATTTGTAGAATCTTTGGGGTTTTCTACATATTAGGTCATATAATCTGCAAACAGACAATTTTACTTCTTTTCCAATTTGAATGACTTGTTTATTTATCTTGCCTAATTGCTCTGGCTAGGACTTCTAATACTATGTTGAATAGAAATGGTGACAGTGGATATCTTAGTCCTGTTTCTATCTCAGAGAAGATTTCAGCTTTTCACTGTTGAGTATGATGTTAGCTATAGGATTTTAATATATGACCTTTCCCTCTATTCATAGTCTATTCAGTGTTTTCATCAAAAAAATTGAAAATTATGTCAAATACTTTTTTTTCTGCATCAGTTAAAATGATCATGTAAATTTTGTCCTTCATTCTATTTAATGTAATGTGTTATAGTCATTGATTTTTGTATGTTGAACCATCCTTGCATCCAAGAGATAAATTCTACTTTATCATGATGTGTAATCCTTTTAATATGCTGTTGAATTTAGTTAACTAATATTTTGTTGAAGATTTTTACATCAATATTCATTAGGGATATTGGTCTGTAGTTTTTTTTTAATCTCTTTGTCTGACTTTGATATCAGGATAATACTGACCTTGTAAAAGGAGTCTGGAAGTAGTCCTTCCTCTTCAGTTTTTTGGAAGAGTTTGGGAATGATTGGAGGACCAGTAAAGCCATCTGTTCCTCTTCTTTTCTTTGTTGAAATATTTTTGATTACTAGTTCAATCTCCTTACTAGCTATCTATAGGTCTGTTCAGATTTTCTATTCCTTCCTAATTCATTCTTCATATTTCATGTTTTTCTAAGAATGTATCTTTTCTCCTAGGCTATCCAATTTGTTGGAGTATAACTGTTT